ATCTTGATCGACGATGCAAGCACTGCAAGCGGAGCATCTGAAGCCGAATATTGCAGTAGCTCGAGGTATTTGAAGCTGCATGCAGGAGTGATACATACAGCTGTAGGAGACACCAGGGCAATTCAGTGTCACGAGAACGAGCTCCTCCTACGATGGGAGGGTGACACTTCGACAGGGGCCAATGCTGACATCTGAAGTTCGAATAGCTCTGAGGTGCTCACGCATGGTCTTTAAAAGGCCTGTTACCGCGGATTAAATATATACGGTAGCCTACTGCTATCCACAAAAATCTCACGGGGCGTGTAAAATCGACGAGATGAGCTTTCAGCGGCCGAGGCATGCCGCGCGCATCTGGCGCTCGATGGGGTTCAGCACACCTCGTAACTGCCCTTGACGAACGTCACGGTAAGTATCCGCAAGCGAGAACCTCCATTTTCAGCTGAAACGAGAAAATTCTTTCCCTCAAGACTCCATTTTGTTTCTGCGTTGCGTTATTTCTCTTCAAGTCCCTCAAAATGACCGATTCCGAATCACCTCCGTCCGGCATCAAAAGCGCTCCGGGGCCATGGCTCAACCTCCCCGTGACAACGTACATGTTTTCATTTTGGTCTAGCCCACCTCTCCTTGACCATGCCTACGCTCCCCTCGAAGCAGCATCCTCATGTGCGGATCCGAAAGAATCCGGCGCCTTTAGAGGCGGTGTCAGCCTCATCGAGATCGTGCGGTACCACGACACGCCCGTGGGACCGTACGACGAGCTCGCCATCGTCCCCGGCTCCTTCGACGTTACTGTCCTGGAAAGCAAGGGCAAAAAGATGAAACAAATGCCCAGGCACGTACCTTTCTCTTAATCTGATCGCCAACTTGCGGGACGATGGAGCTTGACGACTGGACAGATGTACGCGCATATACGTCAGCCAGAACGACACCTGCTGGAACGGCCGTCACAACTGGAACATCCCAAAGCACCTCGCCAAGTTCTCGTACTCCACAGATCCCAAGACTTCGACTCTCAGCGTCAAAGTCTCTGCCCCAGATGCAGACGCCAAGCCGTTCTTCTCTGTAGACCTGTCAATGGTCAGATACCTGCCGTCTTTCCCATTTTCGACGAACATTGCCAAGTACTTCGGCGTCGAAATGTGCATGGCACAGCCGCCGTTGCCGTCCGGTGTGAAGTCCCCAAAGTTGCTCCGATCAGATGAGGATCCCACTCCGTTGTGCGGGACGTCAGAGTGGCGCTTTGCAATCCCGGAGGTTTGGGGAAAGGCGAGCCTGTGCTGGGTCAATCAGACCGTGCCTTCGAAGCAGACACCGAATTCAGCGGGACAGACCTCCGATGGTGCCGAAGCGAATGAAACGGACAGGCTATTACCGCAGACCGATTCCGAAAACAGCGGAGTCGGGTGGCCATCGTATCGCCCGTGGCCTGTGGGACTATGGATTGAGGAAGGAAAGATCAACTTCCAGGATGCGCATGTAGATGGACTCAAAGCAAAATGAAAAGGTGTATTCTTAACTCCAATTGTATGCACTAAGAAACTGAGCTTAATAAGGGCTTGCAGAGATTAAGGAGCCTTAATGACTTAACCGTTAAGTATGGTGAAGTATATACAGTGCGTATTTGCAATATTTACAATCCGCCCACCCATGTCTCGATAGCGACCGTCACTGCTAAAGGAATCAAGAGACGGAAGAACAGTCGAAGAATATTTACAAGTAAAGACAAAGGCTCCGACGCCTCCACCATGTAGAGTCATTCCGATCCTCCATCGATCGGGTGCTGTGTCCTGAACCATCAGTCTCTTCAGACTTTCGACTCAATGGTCTGAGCACCGAATGGGGACTTGCTAGACTCAAACGAGATGCTAGCAACCCTCGAATCTGGATCAATAGCACCTTCGCTGGTACCGACGTGAGATTCGCGGTACGCATCAAGTTCCTTGCCCTTGAACAGGTTGAGGTAGATCGGAAAGCTCCACGCGATAATGAAGAAGCTTAGAGGAACCACCATCGCAATTCTCGTACCCGTTTTATCGGCAACATTTCCCAAAATCGCGGGTATGACTGCGCCCCCGCAGACTGAAGAGACAAGGAACGATGCACCGCGCTTGGTGTGCCGGCCAAGACCACGCAGGGAGAGGGTGAAGATCGTAGGGAAGACGCACGACTCGAAGAAGAGCACGAGCATCAGCATTGAGAGACCGCCCCAGTTCGCCTTAGTGCCGTGGCCGCTGTCAACAGCGATTGCGAGGATAATGAAGACCATGATCAGGGTTTGGTAGAGAAGGAGGATCCAGCGGGGTTTGGTGAAGTACATCAGGCCCGCAGCGGAGAAGCGACCAATGGCGAACAGTCCTTGGGCGATAGCGTAGTAGTTTGCTCCTTGATGTTGGGCAGTGATGGTCGGGAGATCCGGTCTGGCCTGCACATAATAGTTGATGAAGTAGCCCGCGATTGCGACTTGGGCCCCGACGTACGAGAATTGCGCGGCGACACCCCAGAAGAGCGTGTGCTGCTTGCTGAGTGGCTTGTCCTCGTAGCCTGTGGAGGCTGTCGTCATCTCCGCCTGGTCAGCCATATCGGCGTCCGTGATTTCAGGAATAGGCGCAAAGTAGAAGACGACCGCCAGAAGTGCAACGAAAGCAGCAATGCCAAGATACACCCATTGTACGCTCTCGAGAGATTTCCCATCAGCGCCAATATGGACAAAGATGACCTGGGACGCAAGGACGGGGGCAACGACGGAACCGACAGCCTGGAAGCTTTTGAATAGTTAGCACCGTATGTCTGTACGAGTAACAAAAGAGCTAGTTTCCCGCGAGCGAACTGTGTACAGGGCCACTCTATTAAAGTCTCCTTCAGCACTTCCAAGAGGCTTCCGCATGTTCGTGAGTCTATATTCGAGCTCGTCAGGAAGTAGCTTGCTAGGTCTGCCTTCGCGGGTTTGCTGCTCGTTGTCGCAGTAAAGAGATGCCGGTGCAGGTCTCATACGCCAACGAGAAAACAACTCCTTCGTAAAACTGAGAGAGAAAGGAACTCACCTTTGCGATAGTTCGAGTCGGAATTCGGACCACTTTGGAGGTCCGCAGACCGCAATATACGGGTTGGCGCTGGTCTCCAAAGTGCTCAATCCCGAGCCGACAATAAACATCGACCCACAGAAGCCGCCAAAGGATCTCTTGACAGCACTTGGCCAGAACATGAGAGCTCCAACGCAGTATATGGATAATCCAAGCATAAACGTGTAGCGGTAACCAAATCTGCGGACGAACCAGCCGGAGTAGGTTAACGGACCGATAAAATAAGCGCCGAAATAAGCACTGTAACTTGTTAGCAGCTGTTTTGATGATGTCAGGGGTGCGAGAGACTTGCCCTTGCAAGCCAGAGGATTGGCCTTGAGTGATATTGAGTGCTACCTGAAACCTGCGCACCAGACTTGTAAGCATCATATAGGAGCACTTGGAGGGGTGTGGTTAGCAAACCTTGAATTTAGGACATCAAGGAGTCCGTAGGCAAACCCCCACAAGAAGAAGAGAAGCGTTACGAGAGAAACCGGAATGATTGATTGACGAGTGGTGATCTGCGAAGCTCCGGTAACGAGCTTGTCAGAGACGCTCTTTCTTTTGCTCTTCTGCTCCATCGCCTCAACGGCTGATGGGCGGCGGCCTTGTTGATGATGAATATCATCGAGTGAAGGCTCCTGCTCGCCTCCGAGGCCGAACTTGAATACCATGATGGAGGGGTGGCTGGTAAAGTTCGAAGATGGGTGTTAATAAAATGATAGTAGATCGGAATACTCGAGCGAGCGCGAGGCAGAAGAAACTGGTGATGATATTCATAGAGACGGAAGTTCATGGCATATTATATATCTTCAGACCCGGAGTCGATATACGCCTCGTCCCAGCACTTACCATCGTCCCCACACCCAGGAGCTGAGATCCAGACCGCATGCGCGACACGCTTCGCATTGGCAAATGACAACATGCTGAAATCCAGTCTCTCCTCTCCCGCGTCTAGGATGTGTTGTGGAGGTCGAACACGTACGTTCTTTGGTTGGAGCGCACGACACAAGCTCAGACGGTGCCGGACCGAGTGGCGGGAGCGAGACGCATCCCAACATGGCGCTTGACTATGCTTTCAGATTTACAAGGGGAACTCCCGTGGGCACGAGACATGATGTTCGGAGCGAAGTCCAGCGTCAGTAGTTGGAGTTTTGGATGATGCCGTGTAAACATTTTGCAGAAGACGGGCCGACACTTCTCAACTGCTGCTTCTAGCGCACTTCTAGCGTGTTTCTATGCAGATGCCCCGCGCCCTCGACTCCGAGGGAGGTCATTTCCGCAGCTCCATTCCTCAACCCACCTTAATGTCGGTCCGGCATTGCCATTTCGGAATCCGGCCTTTCTACCGAGAGGCTCTCAGCCGTTAACTGCTGTGCTTCTCGTGGGATAGTTTTCTTCAGATGCACCGAAAGGACTAAGGAGACATGTGGCGACCAATTCCGACGCATCTGAAGGAATAGAGAGAATGTTGCATAACTCGGCGCCCCGAACGAATGTAGCAGCCGTCCAGTCTCGTGTATCAGAATTTCAGGCGAAATCAGGCGAAACTTCCTAACAATTGGAAACAATCTACATTCGGAGTATGGCGGCAAACATTTTCTTCAGTTCCAGAGACACTTGATTCCTGCTCTGCCTCCTGGGATTGAGTGGATTGCGCTACCTTCAAATAAAGTCCTGTAGCTCTTCCATTACCTTTGGGGACGTGCAAAGTTGCAGCTTCCTGCGAACCATGAAATGATTCCTAAATTTTTGGATAAATATTAAATTAAAAAGGTTGATGATTTGATTTTTCTAGTATTTGTAGCCGATTTAAATTTATTTTCAAAATTTAACTAATATATAATAATAGGGATTTCCAGCTCTCTGGTTTTCTCAGGATGCCACAGTGGGTGAGTTTCTCCATCTCAGCCCAAAATTTACTCGCACTAACCCTCAAACAGACCTGTGGCGCAATGGTAGCGCGTCTGATTCCAGGCATTGGAATGCTGCTTCCAGAAGGTTATCCGTTCAAATCGGGTCAGGTTCAATTCCTGATGAAAATTTTTTTTTTCCATCTTTCTTTTTGCCTGCGCAACGAGCACAAACCTCATCTCAGTCTACAGGGGACTTTTCGATCGTCCCGTTCAATTTTGCTGGACGGCTGACATCCAAATTTGTGCGCCCGAAGGCCAATATCTACATACGTGGACGGGAATAACACATATCACTGTCGCTGCCACGGTTCAAAGCGCAGCACTACCGCTTCGTCAAGACGCGAACAGGATTTTTCTAATATATATATATATATGGGAAGCTAACGTGAGGTTATCAAACAAATGGGACATGTGTAGCAGTTTTAGTTCGGCCACTACCTGGAACATCGGAGCTCAAACGTTCAACCCCTCTCGAATTGGCTCATCTTTGACATGCAACCTAGCACAAACATTTAAAAACTGATTGGAATACGCCATATTAGTCGTCGTCGTCACCACGCTCATCAAAGTCATCCACTCTGATGCCCTCCCTGAGCGCCTTCTTACTCTCGTCCGCCTGATGGAGTGTTCTCAGGTACTTCTTGAAAGCATTCGACATTCGTACGATTGACTTAATGTGCGTATCCTTCAGACGTATACGGCCCTCCGAGTCATGGTCATTCTCAACTTCAGCGAGAGCAACAGCAGTTTGGAAAGCTGCATTCTGCGTCAGCGCATATACGCATGGCCCGATCATTCGCGGCATAACATACCATTTCGAATTTCTCTTCCATTCCAGTGCAACCCCTTCATCTCTCTTGAATCCGTCGCATATTCTTTCGTTGCGATTGGTATTCTCATCGTGTCTTCCCTCTCCTGCTCCAATTTGCGGAAGAACGTATTCCAGACCTCACGTCTATCACTGTCCGTAAACTCCGGATAGTGGATACTGACATGTATTCGACTGATAAAAGCCTCGTCAAACGTCCCCACTCGGTTCGTTGTGAGAAAGAGGATTCCGTTATAGTACTCTAGCGCCTTTGAGGGGGTTAGCTTGACTTTCCCTTCTCTGCTTTTATGTTTGTTAATACTGACCCTTAGGAAGCCGGCAACAAGGTTGTTTCGAGACAGGTCTTGCGTAATCCGCTGTTCCATATATATGTCAGCTTCATCAATGAGTAGGATGGCACCCCAGTGCTTGGCCAGTTTAAACCAGTAGCGGAGCTTTGTTTCGACTTCGGTTGGATCCGTTCCGATATCCGTGCAAGTTAAAGAAAGAAGTGGTCGCTGCGTATACTCGGAGATGCATTCCGCTGTGTAAGTCTTTCCAACACCCGGTTTGCCGTGCAGCAAGAATATCATCCCTTCTCCCTTTCCCTGAACCGAATCGGCGGACCAAAGATCATGCGACGAGCCACCGTCCGTCGCCGTATCTACACGCGTGTACTTGCGTGCGAGACTTTTTATCAGATCTCTTGTCTCCTTCTGGATTACGAGGTCATCAATCATGGAAACCTTGAATTTCGGCTCGGAAAAGTACCCCACGTCCAGCCTTTGCCACGATCGAATTTTCAAGACGAACCCAATGATGGAACGAGTGCAGAGGAAATATTGGTGCGGTGTCAATTGTTTGACATTGACTGGATTGATCCTGGCATATCCGGCGAATGGAGACCTCTTTGTCTTACTGTTGAGAGCCACACATCTCTCGCAAGAACATCCTGGTATTCCGCCAGCATTTCGCTCTCCTAGGTCAACAACAGGAGGAGGAGCAGGAGGCATCGAAGGAGCTGCGCCAGGAAATGACCCCATAGAATTTGGTGATTGAGTTGTTTGGTAAGATTCCGTGTCGATCATGACAAGATCCACGTACTTCCTCCTTGGGAAGGAGAGTGTCAGCCCATCGTACCACATGCACTGTCTCTCTGTGAGGCGGTAATACAACTGGCCCCTTTCTTCTAGCTTCTTGCGGTACGCGTCGTGGTTCATCTTCTCTCCGTGCACATCCTCACGGAGATATTCGCACGGAAAGATGTCAAGAGACGAGATCTCCTTCTCACCTTCAAACGGAAGGATTTGCGCATACCGGAGCTGTGGCTGGAGGTATTGTCCGTCATATTCCAGATTCCAAAGGCACAGGTCGATGCTGTATGCGTTTGCAGTTACACTCTGTACTACATACGGGTCCCAAAGAGCAGCGCTTGTTCGGTCGTAATAGACATCAGTGCCTGGTTTGAACAGTGTCCAAAGGAGATCAAATGTGCAGACTGGTCGCTCGCGTTGATGCCTCTCGTACTCCTTCGCAAGCGCGTCCTTGTGGTGCGCCTTGACGAAGTCCAAAACGATACCAACGTGATCATGAACATCCTCAAGTCCTTTACAGTCCTTGACGCTTTCGTGACGGTCTTCGGGGTGGAAAATTCCTCTGTGCTTCTCCAACTCGTCAAGATGAAACACAATTGGCGCATACGGCTCCGCTAAAGTGACCGAAGAGCCTTCATAGTCACTTCCAGGATAGTAGTCTGTCACCGAGCGGAGGGCGTTTAGGACTGCTGGCGAGTGGATCTCGATATACGATGACCCTTTCGAATGAGTTGGGGGTGGCTGTGGAGATGTGTATGGCAGATTTGATAATGTCTTGATTACCCGCTTTACTTCTAGAACTGGACGGTCTTTCGGAGGCGGTGGCTCGGTGTTGAGATCATCCGTATCACGCGTGTAGACGACTTGCTCCGTATGAAGGTTGCGATATTCGATTTTGTGCCATACCTTCTTCGGTGGGCCCTCAATAGAATGTTCTTCATCCTCTCCAGAATTCGGAACATGCTCGAACTCAATCGACTCCCTCAATGTTTCAGAGGGGCTCGCATAGAAGCCCTTTTTCTCCGCGAGATATTTGTCAGTTCGAAGCGGTACGTCAAGGCCGCCTTCGAACGACAGGTCTGAGTATTCGGTCGGCAGTTCTGGAGGCATTGCTACACCGAGGCGCAGCACAATGCCACTGGTGTTACGCCGTAGAAGCTCCTATCGTCACCTGGAACACTTCTGGACGAGAGCTCTCAGGTTCGAAAGTGGCGATCTGTCCGCAACGACATCGCAAGAACTCTCGTGCTGCTTCGCTCATCGATTGTTAAGATGAGACCACGCCCAGAGCTGAAATTGCGAAGCTCCGAGTTGACTGACATGCGGCGACAGGATTCAGCTCCTTGCATTTGTGGCTGGACGATTTCCAGTTCATTGGACCGCGGCAACAGGGCCTTTTGCTTTTCCCGAGTGGCTGAGCCAGACCTTCTAAGGACGCTAAAATCTCCTTGGAGTTCGAATGCTGCATGATATTATAAGCAGAGATCCAAATTCATTACAATGGAGCGTCGGGATGGCCTGCGATACCGACAAGATCAAGGACATGGTCCGGACTTTCTCCTTCGAACTAGAAGAAGAGCTGGAGCGCAATGGCCAGCCATCAGACGCGTTGTCGAACGCAGTGGTGCAAGATAGGAAGCGAGAGGATAGGCAGCATGAGGTTCAAGAGTGGCGCAAATATTTTGAGTCACTGCCGGTGTCAGAGTGAGTGCCTAGCAATCGTATGGCAGCGCCTCATCGCGGTGAGCTAATGGTGACCCTCTTTAGCGACGACGAGATCGCGAAGCTTGACCATGAAGGCAACATCCTCTCAGCAGCATGGGCGGAATTCCACGCGTCTCTTCCGACGAAGCAGAGAGTAGAGCTCTCACACCGAGCGCAAAACTGGACAGATGTGATCGCGGTCGTGCAAAATGCAGAATCCGAATGGAAGGCGAAGAAACAGGAGGGTGCATTTGGGCGTGCAAAACGAACCTTCAATCAGGTGTGCAGCACCATACACAGGCACTCAACTATGCTAGAAGTTTTACCGTCGAGCAGCGAGTATGTGAGTTATCAACGCCTTCCTATGAACCTCTAAGGAACTATTCCGGTGTTTTCGCGAAATCCAAAAAGCAGCATAGCGCGCTTGAACCATGATAGAAGTATAGGTTCAGGAAGCACAGGAGTCATCTTTACACTCTCCGGAACATTGCTTCGCTGACACGTCACTCGCCCTTTAGGTCTCAATCTTTTGTGGCACACTACAGACCATAATCAAGGTACACAGCCCCGAGGCGTCCGTTATGAGGCGTGAGGCAGTAGGTAGCCACATGACAAGGCTAATGTGAACTAATAGGCATCAGTCAACTACCAAAAAATAGCAGAAGGGCTGTCTAAAGCTTTGCTTGAAATTAATGACATCGTCGCCGCCGTCAACAAAGAAACGCTCATCTATCCGACAACCGCAATGCAGCATGTCGTTGCAAATTTGTACGCACATATTTTCTTGTTTCTGAAAGAGGTCATGGCTTGGTATACGAAGAGAAGCCACCATCGACTACTCTCCAGTTTCCGCGAAGATTTCTACGAACACTTTGAGGACCACATTCGGATAATTCGCGAAATCTCCTGGTCCATCAACCGAGAGGCGCAAGCGTCATCTATGGCAGAAGGCCGCTACACAAGGCTTATGGTTGAAGATCTTGCCCAGATGCTCTCCAGTATCATTGGATCAGAAGGACGGAGAAGAGAGGAGGCACAGGCTCGATTTGAAAGAGCAAAGGCGTCACGACAGCTACTCCAAGAAGGCGAGAGGACGGATTATCTGAAGCAAGAGCGCAATTACATCCTTGACCAATTCAAGCAGATCATGTCAGAGGAGCAACTTGGCGTGGCGGCAACTGGAATGCTCCGACAGCAGGCACAGACATATATCCAGAACGGTAGCGGAGGTGGTGATGCTACTGTCACGGCGAAGACAATTGGAGCAGGAACGAGAGAATCTTTAGCCAACATTGGTTCTAGCCTCGACAGTCAACGAAGACCATCCGGGCCTCAATCGAGGGAGGAAATTGAATTCATTTCCCGAGCGCTGGAAGACCTTTTCAGTCGCGCTGATATTAGAATCCGCAAGGAATCGGAAACGGAACCGGTGAGTGATATGATTATACGCTGTGTCTGAAACCTGCTAATATTCTTCACCTATCCTAGGTTTTCTTTGCGGACAACG